GCGACAGTGCCCTTGCAAAATAGTGTCGGAAGACAGCAGAAGGGGAGGACAATTTTTTATGAAATAGTTGGCCAATGGCTGGTTTATACCCACAGCCTACTTCCTGTGAGTCAGACTAAACCAAACCAAACAGGTTAGGTGCAAAAAGAACCCGATGACGTGATCTTAAAAGACAAACACTTTCGCAAACGTTCTAGCTTAGTGTCATTTCTTTTCAATGGTGACATCATGTAAATTGGCAGAATAACATATGATATGCTCCCATCCTAGCATGAGTACTTCTGCTCCCCTCTTCCATGATACCAATTTCTCTGTCTCCTTGACAACCTTGCTCATTAGGGAGAGTGATGGGAATGCCACTCCAAATCAAGACCATCCTCCTCTATGAGCTATCATGTATGCCAGGGTGGCAGCCATGCCATTGCTCATTCTGATGCCTGCTTACGTGCCGTCGCTCTTGACGTGCCAATGAAATCCACGAGGGAAGCTTAGACGGAAATCAATCTGATAGTCTCATTTGAAACCGTTTGTGCTTCAGCCAATTGATGTTGAAAACTGGATCCACTGAACAGATTCTTATGACACATTTGTCTTTTATTTAGAGCCGCTAACTGAGTTTCCTTGATATGGTTCACAGACAGGTGGCTGAACAACAAAAAAAAAAATGCTTTTCCTGTGAGAGACCATACAAATACACACAAAAGAAAACAAACAGGTTTGGAAGAGACCGGGTTTAAAAACAGAAAAGCCCAGGAGCCCATGCTCCTCGTGACCCCTCATTCCTCTGCTGAGAGAGTTAAAAGAGGAAAGATGAGCGACAGACTGCTGAGCTGGGCTTCACCAGCACTTCACAACTCCCTTCACTGAGGGGGGAACGCTCAGAGGCTCTTTCAACACCACACAAAGAGAAAGGGAAAGTAAAAGAGGATTATAAAAAGAGGGGATGTTTAAAGAAAAGAAAAACGTCTGGCAGAGCTGTCTGTGTTTGGCACTCAGGTCAAAGACAGGCGGGATTTCAGCCAATGGGAGACATTTCCTTTCCACCACCCCCCCCTCCCCTCCCACTCCACATTGTTTGCAGTAGTTGTTTCTCAGAGGAAGGATGACTGCTTTACTCCCGATTGGCAATCAGTGTCGGAAGCATTTGGAGTGAACTGAACAGACTGAAACATGAGGACTCACTGTTACAGCCACTGTGGATCTAATGATCTTCTCCACGTAATAATTTGTCTACAACAAAACCAGGCCAGTGCATAATTAGATGCCTTTCACATGCAGTCAATGTTAACAATGTTTTCCACATGTACGGCTGCTGCTCCCAAAAAAACAGAGTGACGGCTATGTTGTGAAAGAGGCAATAGTTTACAACCGCAACAAGCTCTCAGTCTGTCACACACACATATACAGTATATTCTCACACACACACTATACTCACAGGCTCCAAACTGAGGGTGTGGTATATGACATAATCTCATCTGCCTCTCTGTGATGAGGTTGGTGGTTGCTCTTCTTCAGTTCCAGAGGAGAAAATGGGTGCCGTAAATGTGGACGCCATCAAAATGGTTTAAAAAAAAGCCCAAAGCTCAAACCGCACAAGGACATCTCAAAAACAACACCAAGAGGGTTTCTCGCCCTCGGCTCGAAATAGGACAGAGAAGAAGGCACCCTCAGACCACACAAACAGAGTTGGGGCTGCTGTCACCACACCATGGGACTGCAGAGGAGGATTCTTTATCAAACTCAACCATTCCAAAAGCCAGTGGGTGGTAAG